ATTCATTATACAATTTTAATTAATTATTAAATTATTTTGTTAAGATGAACCAAAAGTTCCTACATTTAACAATTAATATTTCTAATATAAATTTTACAAAAAACACTCCTTTCATTATGCAAATTTAATTAATTTGTTAAGATGAATTAAAAGTTTATACGTTTTAAAATTAATATTTTCAATATAAATTTTACAAAAACAATTAAAATTATGCAAGTTTTAAGTAAACTTTTGACACAATAAATTTACCAACTTTTCTGGTTATTTCTAATATTTTATCTTTCAATCATGTTTTGTTTTAAACATACACACACACACACACACACACACACACACGCATACTCACGCATATATATATATATTACAATTAATCAGAAAGTGATTTAATGACGTTGTTTCATTTGAATAAATGATTTCTATTTGCAATTATTTATTATCACCTGTTTATCAATTTTTCTTTACTTCTTTTTCTTTCATTTTCTTTTTTTTTAAATTTATTTAAAAAAAAAATTGAAAATTGATTAGAAATAATTGTACGGTTTTTTTCTTTTCCTATTCTTTTTTCTAAAAAAAAATCAAATTAACATTTTATTCTTCGTCACAGTTAGCAAAAACATTTTAAAAAAGATCAACGTCATCAAACTTTTTCATTCCTTCTTATTATACATTATATTTATAATAAAAGATGTCAGAGAAGTTAATTGCTTTTAACCGTACCGATATAAATAGAGATGAAACATAATAACAATTTTTTTTTTTTTTTTTTGACATTTTATTTATAGCAAACAAGTTAAACGATGTGCCATTAACATTATTATTTTTGATTTTTTATTTTTTATTTTTTTTTTTATAAATTCACGTCATTTTCTACGACGACCGTGTAAATATATCTTCATTCGTGTATACGTTATTGTTATTTTTTTTTTTTTCGTATAATTATTTTTATTTATTTTTTATTTCAAATTTCAAATTTCAAATCGAAGTGTGTTCGTATACAACACTCACGCATTTACAACAACTGTGTCGAATTAAATTTCCAAAGTTAATTTCTTCTTATTGTTCTTGTAACATTTGCAAATTTTCTTAAAAACTAACACGTACATAATTGTTGATTTATTATAATATTATAATTAAAATTTATTATTCATTTAATGTAAATTTGACGAAACATTTCGTGTGACAAACTATTAAACGATTTAATGTTAAACAATTGTCTTAAATATTATTATATGATTATATCAATGTACAATGAATGTGATCATAGTTTAATTGATTAACATTTACATTAATTAGAAAAATAGTATTTCATTTAGAAATCCTTTTATCTAACATTTTAATAACAATATATATTTAGACGAATTCGAATTTGATTTGAAAGATACGCTTATATTCTATATATTATTATTATTATTATTATTATTATTATTATTATAACTTATGATAAAAATATTAATATAAGTTAAATTCTAATTACAAGTATTTAAATATAGATAAATATATATAAATATGGATACGAACAAGTGTATAACATAGAAAAGAATTTTAAAATTTTAATTCAGGAAATCTTCGAACAGTTAATTCTAAAACATTACCAGAATCCAATATTTTGTTAGTAACTTCTTTAGATTTCAAGTCATTTATTGATTCTTCATTAACTTTGGTAATCACATCATTAGCTCGTAATCCACATTTTGCGGCTTCACCATTGATCTTAAGCTTTATTTTTTTGGGGGAAAAAAAAAAACCAAAAAAAATAAAAAAACAAGAAAAATATATATAATAAAACAATATAACATTATAGAAAAATAAATGACATTTGTGCTCATAATTATGAAAGTGGTCTTAATGTCTTGTTTCGAGATATTTCAAGATTTCTATTTGTACATTATATGAATTCTATGTAATATTGAAAAAACAAATATTATCTGACGATTCATTTTTGACAATATCGTGAAAATTATATTGCATTTATTTAGTTTAAAATAATGTGATGCTTAATAATTAATAAACTCATCCTTTTTTTTTTTTTTTTAATTTCGACTTAGATCACTTTCATAATTATGGGCACATTTTTACTATTGTAAACAAAGGATTTTCAATTTCTTTTTTATTTTGTTTTTCTCCGTCACGATTTAAACGATAATTTAATTATTTAAATATTATATTAATTGAACATAGTGAATATTATAAGAAAAATTGATACAAAAAAAAAGCGAATATAATTTAATAATTAGAAAGAAGAAAAAAAAAATATATATATATATAATTTAGATATGAAATAATAATGAAATATAAAAAAATGAAATAATAATAATTTAATAATTAAAAAAAAGAAAAAAATGAAAATAATATCATCAATATTAAATATAAAATAAATAATAATAATAATCCATTAAAATGATCATTCATGTAAGAATCGATACTGTGAAATAAATAATAAAAAAAAAAAATATTTATTCAACACTTTTGCATAAATAATCATACCTTAACAATTTTGACGGGAAAACTAAAATCTGCACCACCAACTATACCAAAACCCCAAGGTTCATAAGTATCATTTTTCTTCAAATGAAATTTCAATTCTTCCATGATGATAATCAATTGTAATTGAAATTCAATAATATATTCTGAAATGAAATATATGATTTTCAAGGTAACACTGGCAATGACAATAATTATAAATAAAATCATTTGCTATGAAATATAAATGAGAAAAAAGAAAATAAGAAAGAACAAATATTTGTTCAATTGGATGAGAAGATTTGTTTGAAAAATTTTTTTATAATACTCACTGATAGAAAAAAAGAAAGAAAGTAAAAAACAAAAATTACACAACACGAATTGAAAATTTTTCAAAATGTTAAATCACTTTGAAGATGATCGAAAAATGATTTATTGGTTCGATTAATTGACGTGTATGTACCACGACGATTTCATGAGATCTGACGATAGTAATCATTGTCAATAGGTAAATAAATGCCAATCATGACGATTTATTTTCTTTCTCTCTCTCTCTCTCTCTCTCTCTCTCTCTTTCTATCACATATGTTAGATAAAGTCATGTTAAATGTTGGCTAATCCTAAACGTTGACAAACAGTGCCAACAATTTTGTTCTTGAACTTATCTCAAGCTTATAGCTATTGCTCATCCTATTATTATTAATTATTATTATTATTATTATTATTATTATTATTATTATTATTATTATACGTAATAAATTCGTTAAAATTATTTCATAGAAATAATACGATTTGATTTATTAACTAAAAGCTTTAGTAAATACAATAGAACATAACTAATATACTTTTATTTGAAATTTCAAAAAATTACTATTCCATCGAATTTTATACTCGAAAAACGTTTCAAAGGATTTATAACAACAAAGGAAGGATTAAAGAATTATTTTTTTTTTTTCATGTGCCTTAATTCTCATTGATAGTCCGTCGTAAATTAATTTATAGTTAATCGATTTGTTTTAATTCAATTTTTAATTAATTATATTATATAAAATTATAATAATATAATTTTAAATTATATTAAATTATATTAATAAAAATAATATTATGTAAAATTATAATAATATAATTTTAAATTATATTAAATTATATTAATAAAAATATAATATTATGTAAAATTATATTATTATAATGTAATTTTACATAATATAATTTTATATAATATAATTTCGAGCTTTGTTATATATATATATATATATATATATATATTTTTTTTTTCTTTCTTTTAAACAAAATATTTCTGTTATAAAGAAATAACTGAAGAAAATTTCGTAGAAAAAAAAACAAAAAAAAACACAAAATAACTGTAACACGAATCATACTTGTAAAATGTAAACATAGAAAATATTTGAAGGTAATAGTTGGAAAAGAAATAATCGCGTTGGTCAGAAAGGATAAAAAAAAAGAGAAATAAAGAAAGAAAGAAAGAAAGAGAGAAAGATATAGGATACTGAGTAAGCAGTTCCCCGTAGATTTCCAAGAGCAGAGGCAAAGTTTCATCCCTCGGAGGGTTTTCGCGAGGGCGCACGCGAGGGCGCACGCCCCGATCCCAGCAACACACACACACACACACACATACACATATTATACACAGCTGAGTGGATTTTACAAGCAGTCAAGAACGAGTCTTCGTTCGTTGCAGTTCTACTTATAAACGTATCTCGTAGATTTACTCTATTTTTTGTTTCTTTCCCTTTTTTTTACGTCCCATTCGTATTTTCGCAAATTCCAATCCCTTTTTTAAAGATTGAGAATATATAAATTTTCCCTACTCCAATGAAACTCTCTTATTTAAACATTTTTTTTGTACCTCAAATCGTTCGAGTATTATTTACACTGATTTTGTTTCATTAATTTTCTTATTTATATTTTTTTTTTTATTTTTTTTATTTCCTCCTCTATAGTTTTATCCTCATTTTACATTCGATCTTGTTCGTCAACGTTTCATACGACATTTTTTATACGAAAAAAAAAAAAAAAAAACCTATTTGTTTTCCTTTTCTTTTTTTCTTTTCTTTTTAATTTCAATTTATCAAGTTCGCGTGTGGAGTTTTATTCAACGATCGAAGAAAAAAATGGATCCATTATCAGCAATATAATCTACCACAACGATTGTTTTTAATAGTTTCATTGATATACCATTTGGAACTTTATCGTATATGTTAAAAAATAAAAAAAGGCATTTTTACCTGTTGTGCATTATACTTTTTGTGCTATACCGAGTTAAAGAGGGAACGAGCTTTTAGGCTCCAACAAATGGCATCATTCCAACTTATATGTAAGCTTATTATTATTATTATTAATATTATTATTATTATTATTATTATTATTATTATTTGTTTCATAGGAAAAACATTTTATCTTTTTACACGTTATAATTGTCAATTTTTTACTTTTATTTTCTTTTTATTTATTTCTATCTCCTTGTGTTCACAACTTTCATAATACTCGAGTAACATTTTCATCTTAATGAGTTTTTTTATTTTTTTATTTTTTTTTTTTTTTTATTGACTTACTAGCTCGTTTTTAAGCCTTACAAGTGAACTAAATTCATCTTTAAACGGGTATAATATATAGTGTGCAAAGTGGTGTTATGCTTTTATAAGCAACTAGCTAGCAGGTGGCCCTTGTGGGATGATATAAGTAACGTTTTAAAAATAAATCGGTTAGAAATAAATATGCAACAGTTATAAGTGTCGATATATAGATTTTTCATTTTTCTTATTTTCATTTTTCATCTTTTTCCACATCTTATTCTTATTTATCATATATTAAATGTTATCTTAACCCAAGATGTATCATCGATTTATTATTTAGAATTTTACAGAAATTTATTATTACGTTTACACACAAACATATTCGTATATAATTCTATATACTTGTATATATGTACATACTTTTATATATTAAATTATACAATATATATATATATATATATATATATATATATATATATATATTGTATAATTTAAATATTTATTTATTTAATCTTATATATTACATTATATATTTAAATTATATATATAATTATGTATAATTATATATTAAATATTTGTTTATTATAATTATAAATATTTATGAACATACCAATAATCCACATTTCTCTTCTATCTTAAATCTTTTTAATTGGTTGATAGAATTAATTATTAAAACAACAAAGCTTATTTTTACAGTCAATTAAAAATTGTTTCACGAACAAATCGATAAAATGATTATCTTCTAAATCTACGAGTATTTTTGTTTATCGACAAAAATTACTTTTCCACGTGTGATTTTGTAACATGATTTTGTTTTTTATTTTTTTATTTTTTTATTTTTTTGTTTCTAACGAATATCGTTTGATGACGTTTTAATCGTACATACACACACACACACACAAACATACATACATAGTATACAAACACACGCAGATAACGATTGTTTTCTAACGAACTATAAATCAATTTCGTAGTTCATTTCGACGAACGGTAATGTCAACGGTAAATAATGACCAACTTTATTTACCCTCCTTTTTTTTTTTTTTTAATAAATGGTATGCGTGAAATTGGAAGTATGTATGTTCGAATAAACGATAAGACGGATTTTTGCATAAATCAATGATATTTAACATTTAATTATTCTAGATCCTAAGATATTACGGTTGACAACTAAGTAATTTGCGAATTTCACCAATAATTTTCCTTGAAAAATCCTCAATTACTCAATTGTCAACCAATTATTCATTAAATTAAATAATTTGATTTGTTTATTTTGAGACACGATAAAAAAAAATTGGAACGAATAATTATTTTTCTCATTATTTCAGATCTTTTTTATTTTGCTTTTGTTAATAGGTTAAACACAATGATTAACCTTTTGGGTACATTTGACGAATGAGACTCGTCATCTGCTTATTTGAGCGAAGTTATGGTGGTCGTGTCTGTCTCGTCATCTGAATTTAAGAAGCTTATATACATACATAAAATATATAAAATATATAAAATACATAAATATTTTTATTATATATATATTACTACTATTAGTAGTTATATTATTGTATAACTTACTATATATATTAGTTATATTATTATATATATAATATATAGTTATAATATACTTTAATAGTAGTATAATATATATACATAATACCTACTAATATAATATTATAGTATATTAATATAATAATATAATAATATAACTACTATATATATATATATATATATATATACTGAAATGTTGTTGCAAAAATATATTTATATCATTAATATATAAATATATTCCAAATAAAATGTATTACTTTTACATATTAATCCATATATTAACAAATTAAATCATTTATATATTCATAAAAATTTTCAAATACAATAATTCAGTATTTAAGGGATTAATTAGATACATTTTATGTGTTCTTAGATAACAATTTTGTTTATAAATAAATTTAACACTTAAAAAATCCTATTACTGGTCTGTGAGGTCAAAAAGTTTGGTGACCGTTGCCCTAGGCCACGTATTGAACGTGGACCGATTATCACCGTGTGCACTAACACACTTAATACCGACAACTTTCTTTCACGTTGTATATTTCAACTTTTAATCGTGTATAAAAAAAAAAAAAAGAAAAAAAGAAAAAGAAAAAAAAGCAGAATAAAAAGGTGTAAAAGGAAAATAAAGAAACTTCGTGTGAAATAGGTCAAACGATTATATGGGTTATAGGGAAATATGTATTCCGATGTTTTGATGAACAAACGTGCACGTTTATATACACACATACACATATATATCAAGTTAATAATTAAATAGCATAAAATAAGCAAAGTAAAAAGTTACACGTTATTAGTTATGAACCATGCTTGTTATGAAAAACTATAAATTTTACTTCTTATTACACTTCTATCTATATTAAACTACGCCCTATTTTTCTCTATCGTAATTAAAGTTGAATAATAATAATGATAATAAAAAAATAAAAAAAGAAAGAAGACAAAGTAAAAGCCAATAAAGAAACGAACAAAACAAAAGACAAAAACCAAAAACAAAAAGAAAGAAAAAACTTGTCTTAATCATCGTAAACATCTCGTTCTACGCAATAGTTATTCAATTTTTATAAACTACGATTTAATCGTACATCCCCCTCTTTTTTTTTTGTTTCATCGATAAATAATAATTTATACGATCGATTGGAAACGTAAAAGATAATAACAAATAAAAAGAAATAAAACAACAAATAAACAAATCTTTATCTTTGTACTCGTGTTCAGGTTTACACACTGAGGTGTTAATTCTTCTCTTTAATTAAAAAAAAATTAAAAAAAAAAAAATAAGAAGAAAACAATATTCGTAAATTAATGTAACAGAAAGAATCAACACTAATACATCAACTAAAGAGAGAGAGAGAGAGAGAGAGAGAGAGAGAGAGAGAGAGAGGAAGAGGAAGAAGAAAAAATGAGAAATAAAAAAGAGGGGTTGAAGGATCTTAATCCGAAATTGAATGGAACGAAGTGTACTTGACTTGGAAATGAAAAAAAAAAAAAAAAAAAAAAAAAAAAAGTAAAATAAAAAAATAAAAAAAAAGATGAAGGAATGAAAAAGAATATAAAAGAAAGAAAAAGGGAAAAATGTAAAAAGAAAAAAGAAAAAAATAAGAATGATAAAGAATAAAATATTTAAGGAAAGATATAAACTACTGCCACGTATTAACTGGCCTATCGATTTTTCCTAAAATCCGTTGTTGACCTTAATAGCTACCTCTCGTTCGAACTCTCGAACATTCACAATATCTCTCTCTTTTTCTCTCTTTTAACGCATCGTGGGCCACGCAAATAATTCGAAAGTAGAACTATATATACCAAAATTGATCTCCACCCTCTCACCCACCACCCTCGCTTACCATCGTTTCGAACATATCATCTAATCGAAAAACAAATGTCACAAAATGTAATATTAGAATGAACGAAATGTTCTTATGGTTTCTTTATTTTTAACATTATAATATTTCTCAAACACACACATATATATATATATATATATATATATATATATATATATATGCAAATGATATTAA